TACAGGTTAAGCACATATTCCTTCTGGCTTTGCTGAAAAATAAACGTTAAAATATGATAAAATGAGACTGATGATGATTTAATAGAAAATGACACGAATCAAGTAGAAATATAATTTTATCGAAAATGTAATTTTTATTGAACTAATTGTAAGTAATAATTAGTTCAATGAAAAGTTAATTATAAGTTACAAATATATAAATCATAACTGTCGAGTTTAGTGAATAGAATCTGTGTTTATCTAACGTTTACATTTAGCAGTGGAACCGGACCTCTGACGTCACGCGTTGTCTCCCGCGCAGCTTTCAGCGTCACATGTTTCAGTTACATTCCTTCATTCGAATTATTCAGACGTTCGTTCTAACTCATGCTTCACGTACGTACAAGTAGACCGCGGCCGCCTCACTGTAGATAGTTTTGTTTATTTAAATTACTACCTCGCGCTATTTACTGACTGTGGGAACAGAAATAAGACAGTATTTATAACAATTAAGTGTATTCTTTGCAGTGGAACTTATTTTGTTATCAGTTTTCCGGTTTTTGTATATTATATTTTCGAATATTTTATTTTTAATATTCACACTATACATTCATATGAAAAGTTCGATAGTTTTTTTAGTACATTACTTACGTAAGAGTAACTCTGTTTAAATTCTGTCAATTTTTATTTGCGTCTCTGTAACAGGCGGTACTTGTACGTTGCCAACAATGTGCTCTACATGTTGTTTTTATGAAAAATAAGCATATTAAAATTAATTCTGTGCTTTTTTACAACAATATTTTACTTTTAAGTTTATATAATTTTGTTTAGAAAATGAAAATAAATTAAAACCGTTGCTACGTTATAATTAAAGATATATAGAATAGGATAAAAGATTTAAGGATAAGACATTCATATCCAATTTTTTTTTTGTAAATTAATATAACATAACAATTTTATGTACATTAAAATTGATAATAAAGTGAAGACTTGTAAAATATATTGATGATACAATTCGTTGGCTTCAAGATATATATATATATATATATATATACAGGTATAATATAACGTTACGTATAAAAAGTAAGTCGAGTACAGAACGGACCATAGATGTGATGTCCTGAAAGTAAAAAACATGTAAATTGGAATAACAAAAACTCCAGAAAGAAAGAAATCGTAGGTTTTTATGGTTCTACTTGCTAGCGGACGAGGATAGAGCTGTGTTATTAATATTAAATAAATTTATACAGAAATTACTGTTTGCTGATAATATCATATTTGAACATTTTTCGACATAGCTTTAAACCAATATAAATCACCTTTGTGCGTACCCACTCGTGACTCTGGCTTCATTTAGGGCTAAGCAGTGCGTACAGATAAAACTGTATCTTTAGATTTACTCAACCAATCGAAATAAAACATAGCCGTAACTGACAATAACTTCTACTTCAGCTATTATTAAACTTCAAAAGATTTTAAAGTACCTAACGTTTAGATATTTCTTTCAAAATAATTATAAATAACTATTTGATAAATAGATAACGCCGTAACAACGATATTTTAGTTTAAATTATATGCTGATCTGCTTATCTCTCTACTGTATGTACGTGGAAGTGCATTGCGCCAAAAAATATTTTATATTAGTATTAGGCAGATTTGGTATGGATGTGAAGACCGATACTTTATAATAATATAAATTTTGCATATGTATACTGTTGGTATTCCATCATAAATATTGTAATTGTCGGCGTGCGTAGCCGCGGGGAAGAGGTAGCAATTTACCGAAGTAAATCTTTCAGGTATTTCGCACGGTCTCCGACATCGAAAGTCCCTTCCCTCGAAGGCGGGCGCGTCTCAGCGGGTGTCACTGATATGTCCCACTTTTGTATTTTTTGCGAAATCCGTGCGAATGCGGTTTTTGGGTCAGTTTTTTTTTTAATTTCATGATGTCAATAAAGCATCTTTATCAAAATGCGTCCGGGCGTGAAGTGATAAGTGCCATGCGATATATTGTTGTGAAATGGAAAAAATGTTATTTGTCGAGTCTATAATAGAGTTTCGGGATGCTCTTTTGAGATCATTTGTCATTTTATAGGTATATTACTTTACACATTTTTTTATATAAAACGATATTTTATGCTATTCATAAAGTATTTGGGATATAATTAAGAATAGTTGAAAAAATAAACTTATACAGACCTTACTTTGTAAGAACTCTTGCAATCGCTCCATTAGCTATTCAATATTCATACTATTGTTTAGTATTTACATTTCAAAAATAAATTTAATAAATAACGTAACAAAAACTAATAAATACCTATCTATACAATTGAATAAACAAATGGTTTATTTTCATATATTGTACGTTTTAGTTTTCCGCATTACAGGCCTCGTTTGTTGTAAGTCAAGGCAAGGCAACTGGCAAGTTTTAAAATCACTTTTTTAATCAGTAGAATGAGGTCTTGAGGTTTGCATATAATTCAACGTACACTATTGCTTTGAAATTTTTTTTATTATTAGCTTTTTGAAATACATCGATCGAACAAAATTTGTATAATCTTTACAAAAATAAACTATATTAACTATTAATTATTAGTAAAGTTTAAAAAACTTAAAATATTCAAATATTTACTTATGTTACTTTCCTTATACGTTATAATTTGCCTACTTAAAAATAACCAATTGATGAATAACCGTTTATCCGAATAGAAACCTTTTTAAATGTTCTAATGAATTGCTCTTTGGTTTCCTGTACTTTTAAAAAATAAATTGTAAAGAACATTTCTACCAAAACATGGGGTCACCCATTACATGAAATAATGACATGTTACACAACTAGTGTGTACGTAACTCTTTATTGTTACATAAACTATGAAACTAGAGAACCCCATAAAAGTGCTTAGAACACAAAAAATGGAACAAAAGTAATCCTTCGCTGTGAATTGTTACTTGTTGATATTTACGTAGTAATATTTACGATTATTATGTTATACCGACTGCGGGTGCGCGGGAGCAGTGAGCGCGAGGGCGCGCCGCGCCGGGCGGTCTCCTCTGCGCTGGAGGCAAAGCTCTATTGTATTTATTTACCGAGCGATATTTTGTGCGCTACATTGCATTTTAATTGAACTTGTAATAAATATGATTAATAAAATAATTATCAATTGTTTTCTATGTATTTATTTATTCCCCTTATAAATAAAAAGTATCATAAGAAATAAAAATATACAATTAATAAAATAAAAGTTAAAGTTTTGAGTTAAGAGAGAGAAAAATATTTCATACATATACGAGTAATATCACAAATGGACATACTATTTTAAATGATTTACATTACTTATTTTTTACTACTACTATGAGATGTTTACTGAACGATCCCAGCAACACAATGCGCCTGCGCATGGGTAGGTTACACACCACGCGTTTCCGGCCGCAATTATCGCCTCGCCTTAACACAAACTGTCGCACAATGGAACCGCATTTAGTACATATGTTTCACTCCATTATGTCTCAAACAAATATATTGCCTTTGTGTAATTGATACGTCGCCATTTCACAAATGTGCTATTTAAGTCTCAATTACAAGTATTCTTGGAGATCCGGATCGGAAATCTTTTTGTATCTTTTTTTATTATTTTGAAATAGTTTAATTTCGGCAATAAGCTTATTTTTAACATTTATTTTACTATTTAGTTTCATACTTCAAGTGAATATATGTAGTTCATGCACAATCTTCAGTTGGCATCGCCGCCAGTCACGGCACGGTACGTGTCGCATTTTATTTAAATTAACTTACAAAAAAAAATTCGTGGTCATTCCTACATATTTGCCTTACAGCATTTTTTTGAAAATTCATCGACTGGGTGACCGAAATAAAGAAAAGAAGGGAGTGCTGAATAAATCTGATCTTTAAATTCAATTTACCTTGAATTAAAAAGATTCTAAGACATAAAATGATTTAAATGCTTTTTTTAAGTCTTTTTTGTTTACACAATTTAATTCTTCATCATCCCCTTCCAAAAATCTTAAAACGTTGCTTTCGCAATAACTATTTACACCTGTTGTTATAAAAAAATTAGAAAGATTTACTTCATTCTTTAAAATAACGAACTGTGCTCTAACAATTTGGTCAGATAATCCCACGGCCACCCACCGCTTGGCCCGGACCTTGTATATACTATACACTACACAGCGTATAGCAGTGAAGGTGTCACAATGAGGACACACGCCTGAACGCACGGTTAACTCACATTAGGTAAATATTTGTATCAATTAGTTAAATGCGGTAGCATTGTCGTGTACAACATTCAAATACACTTTGTATCCCTTACGATATTAGCCCTTATGACACATTGTATTAAATGTCATTATTGGATTATATCAATCTGCCATATAAATCATGTTTGTACACTGTAAATAGCATTTAAATTTCACTTCCACTTCGGCAGTGTCCTGCCTGCATCCCGACAAAGTTATTATGATAAAGGATTGTCGATAACGAGGGTGGGTTCATAAAAATTGAAGACGATTGTATTATAGTAAAGAAATCTTAATAAAAGACCTTTTCAAAGATGTTATTACTTTTATTCGTGTTGAAATCTTTTCAAATACGAGTTGTCAGAGTTCATCAAAAAGACTCAGTAATGTAATAAATAGCTCATTGAATGTTTTGTAATGAAAAGATAAGAGTTTAAAAGCTTGTTTATAGAATAGTATTATTAAATCCTGTCAAGCAAAAAGTCTCGGTACACGTATAAATATTATTTTCAATTAAATTCTCAAAAGACACATTTATACATATATTAACAGATATTGCATGTGGTGTCTTTGCTATTCTAAATTCATAATATGTACAAACAAAATGATTCTACTGATTATGTACTGCGCTTTCGTCTTCCGTGTATTACTTTAGGCTAACCGGAAGATGATTTTATTTTGTAAATAATATATTTTCTTCCATTAAAAATGAAATATACAAGAAAGTATAATAAAATAAAGCTTTTATATAAGAATTAAAACGTTTAATAAAATTCTCCATCGGATAACTTGAGCGCGTAGAGATGCAGGGACCGGAACTCGCAGAACTGGTTGGTGCACCAGCCGCCGTGCCCGTCCGTGCAGCGGCAGGAGTCGCACTCATCCATATATTTCTCTCCCGGAACACATTTGAAGAAAGGATTTTTTATCACTGAAATGATGAACAAATATTATACTCCATATCACAACTTATACTAATTATTCAGTTACTGTTTCAGTCTAAGCCGCTGCGACTAGAAGCATGTTAATTTATATAAGGTGTACACAAAGAGATCATTTTTGAAAACGGATCCTGTAAATATGTTAAATAGGGCTAAAGATGTTCATTTAGCCGACATGTCGGTAGGTGTACCGGGTTCACGGCTTGTGGATAGTAAATATATTTAAAAATAAGTTCTAACTTAAAATATCTAAATTAATACATTATTTTTATATATTTTAATAAAATAAAGAATAATAGGAAAACCAAGTTTGTTAAAAATTTTTTTTGCCTCCAAGAACAGGAACAAGTTTTGTAAGATTAACATATTTTAATAAAACCTGCATGACAACTTTTTTTTTATACTAAATCATTTTTTTTTATTTTATAGTCAAGTTAACACCTAACATGTATTTCATTGAAAAGTTTATTCCACCGCAACATAGTATTACATATTTTGGAATATGAGATAAAAATTTACATTAACATTTTATTATCAGATAGGTACCTACATGGAAACTACTGTATGGAATTTAATAATAGTCATAAATAAGAAAGAATATAAATAAATAGATTTTCATCTATCTCGTTTGTTACCCATAGCTACTAGTAACATGTAATGTCCCAGTCTGTTTGTACACTGTACATTTTGTGTATATATATATGTGGTACATGTTACCTGTACATCGCAAACACGGGGTGCTTCTCTCACACAGCGCCGTGACTGTGGGCTCGCAGTAAACACAAGAGGGCATCGCGCGACACGCGCCCGAGTCCTGCGTCTCGCAAAGAAGACAGTTCCGGTTCTCCGGGACCAGCGACTGAGACGTTTCCTCCTCCCAGTATTGGTGCGGCGGCTTCGGCTTCACGAACTGCGACACTACGTATCTGGACGAATATGTACATATATATAAGACATTTAGTACACGTTTCAGATGAGTACACATGACGTAGGAAAGGGATATGGTACGATAAATGTATTTGTTTATGTGTGCTACGGTTGTCTGTGTCAAAATGTATACTAATGGTTCTAGCATGCTTATTATATTACTATGAGATTTAGGCAGGTGTGTAAAAAATGTTAATAGATTATTTAGTTTATTAATATTTAGCTTATCTACTGGACAGTTAGGTAAAATTGCAGATGTTTTTGATAATATATTTATGTAAATATTATAATAATATTTTTAAAAAGCGGCTCCAATCATGTAATACCTATCTGAGATTTCATACACAGAAAAAGCATAAAAATGTACAATATAGAATTTCTTCATTTTAAAGTCTCTTCGAAATTACTAAATCAGTACTAAACCAATAATAATTTGACTTAAATAAATAATAACCTAGGCAAGTAAGCGTATTATACCACGACGCCTCGATGGCTGCCTGCCGAAGCAGACCACAACAAAGTGGTCGCGCCTACGGTCCACTCGCAACCATCACCAGTCGCAACCCACATGGTACACCACATACCGCGGTGGGCCACCTGGTCACCGGTCATTTGGCCAAAATTAAGCCACCCCATCACACTTAAATCCCCCTTGGATTGGACTAAAGCCTGAAGTAGCTGCAAAGTATATATAACATATAACAGTAGGTGCGATATACTCACGCCTGCGAGCCGGGCCGGTAGACGGGCGGCGCGTGCTCCCCGCCGCCGCCTACCGAGCTCAGCGTGCCGGCCAGCGGAGCACCGCGGCGGAGCTCGCCTGCGGATCAAACATTACACATATGCTAGCGGCTTGTCCCCGCTTCGAAAAATATAATATGTGATACAATAAATATTATAAAAAACTATCGATTTATCCTCGCTTCTTAGATCCCTAACGGCAGCCTATGGGTACTAAATTTTATCAAAATTGGTCAAGCCTGAAACAGCGTGGAAAAGCAATAAACATACACACAAATACAAACTTCAATTGTAATAGTAGTCCGATTAATGTACAAAGCTCATTCGACACGTATTGTATTGCAACTAATAATAAACAAGTTATTATTTTCGAAACTGCAATTTTTGGATTTTCTCTTGGGCTATCCTCAGCAGAACTGCCTTCCGAGCCGGTGGTAGTCTCCTCGCAGACTTACGTACATACTGACGTTTTATTCAATAATCAATTTATATTTAAAATATCCTCAATTAAGAGTTGATAGTATCAGACAGCCACACACTTAACTTCCTTAGTAATTTGTAATTACAAATCCTTCTTTTAAGCAACAAGGGAGCAAGATTTTAACGTTATGTCATTTTTCTATTAAATAGGTTATGGGTAGAGAAACATGGGCTTGTTATCGAGAAATCCAAGGTTCCTGTAAGATTTGAGCCGAGTAAAAATTTTAAATAAAACTATCTTTTCGGATTATTTCGCGGATTTATTTTGATTTTTGGTTCCCGACGTTTCGAATGCTTTACAGCATACATGGTCACGGGAGAGACTGAGGTGTTAGATGTCTCGAAGGTGTAGTCGTTACAGACAGCCTACGCACAAATAACAAAATGAAAATTGCACCAATTACCTTACAATATTTTTTAACTTTAAACATGTTTAACTTCAAACAAAAAAATATATTGTTCGCTGTTATATATAATACTACGGAATATCTCAGATGTAAAGATTATTCCGACTTATTCACAAAATACATAATTATTCATTATATAACTCTTGTGCTAAACCGTGAATTTTGTTATACATGAGTATGTACTCATTTGTAATTTGGTTTGTGGTGAGAAATAAAGAATTTTATTTATTATTATTAATTATTGCTTATAAGTACTAACGTTTCGAGATAATCCTCCTTTCTATTGGTGAAAACCGTATGAACATCCGTGGGTACAGTACTACAGTAGTTTCCTAGATGAGCCCTAGCAAATACGATTGGCGTGGAAAGGGACTTTATAATGTTATATAGTGATAAGCATTATTTAATCGTGCACGCAATCACTACTAATATTATAAACGTGAAAGTTTGAGATGATGTTTTAGTTTTATGAATTGTTATTATGTATGTTCTTAATTAATGTTAATTAATTAAGATTTAATACTTTCTTAGAATTACGCGAATATTTGACATTTAAATAAAACTATCTTTTCGGAATTTGTCGCGGATTTATTTGCATTTTTTGTTTCCCGACGTTTCGAATGCTTTACAGCAATCATGGTCACGGGAGAGACTGAGGTGTTAGATGTCTCTAAGGTATTATATAGTTGCTACAGACAGCCTACCCACAATTAACAAATTGAATTCAAAAAATTGAAAAATTGAATTCAAAAAAAAAATTAAATAAATATTATTTATTTAATTTGAGCTGTTATTATTATAATTATTACAATTTTAAAAAATATTAATTATTAATCTACATTTTTAGTGTTGCCATTATTATATTTATAACCAGGGACCCATTTGGTTACCCCTTAAAGGGTTTTAACCTGGAGTTTTTTAAAGGGTTTTAACAAGAAACCCTTTTCATAGGGTTACCCAGTCAACAGGCTTAATTAAATCATATGTTTAATAGGGTTAACCCTATCTGTTGGGTTAGGTATTAGATTACCCAATAAATAATGGGTTTTAACTGCCTCGGTGGTGTAGTGGCTAGCATGTACGGCTGCACACGCGGAAGTCCCGGGTCTTAGTTATTGAGTCTTCCTGTATAGTAAGTCTCAGTAACAGCCCGGAGTTGGGAAGTTGGCGGTGTTTCACTCCCGTGCCTCGGAGAGCACGTAAAGCCGTCGGTCCTGCGCCTTAACTCTCACCGGTCGTGTCGAGTGGTCGTCCCACCGGAGTATGAGAGTGATAGGAATAGAGAGTGCACTTGTGTCTGCGCGTACACTTGAGCACTATAATATCTCCTGCGCAGTTGGCTAATCTCATTGAGATTGGCCGCCGTGGCCGGAATCGGCTAGGAGAACATCATCATCAAATAATGGGTTACTTAATATATAACGTGTTATCTAACAAATATAATGGTACAATTTTAGTCTCTAAATTACCATCTGACACACACACACACATGACACACACACACACACACACGACAGACACACACACACACACACATGACACACACACACACATGACACACACACACACATGACACACACACATGGCACACACGACAGACAGACACACACACACGACAGACACACACACACATGACACACACACACACACACGCACGACAGACACACACACACACACATGACACACACACACACACACACACATGACACACACACACACACACACGACACACACACACACATGACACACACACAACACACACGACACACACACACACAACACACGACACACACATGACACACACACACACACACATGACACACACACACACACGACAGACACACACACACACATGACACACACACACACACATGACACACACACACACACACGACACAATCACACATGACACACACACAACACACACGACACACACACACACACACACACACACACACACACACACACACACACACACATGACACACACACACACACACACATGACACACACACACACACACACACACATGACACACACACACACATGACACACACACACACACACACACACACACACACATGACACACACACAACACACACGACACACACACACACGCACACACACACTCACTCACACACACACACACACACACACACATGACTAGAAAAATAAAACTTCTTTAAAAACTTGTTATAATAAAAAATAAAGTCTTATGTAAATATTTATGTCTTTTTATTTTAAGAAATATGTAGAATAATAATTTAATTTAAAATAATTTATTCATAACATTTATGAATTATTTTCTATAATTTTAATTATTTGGTACATAACGTAACGCCTCTTCAGAACCGGTACATTAGCCAATTCCAGCCCAACGAATGTTCCAAAAGCATTATTTGCAAATTCCATTTTTTTAGTGTTTTCTTCGGCATACGTTTTGGTACTGCTTTCAGTAAATTCAATTGTTTTTAATGTATCACGGGCTTCGTAATCCTTGTATTGGTCTAAATTTTGAGTGTTTGGCTCAAATATATTATACGAGTCTTCATCAACTCGGTATTCTGTAATATATAAAAACACAAATTTGTAATTAGTAAGAACCTAGACTTTAAAAAATAGTTAATATGATATATGTACATTGCAAGTATTTAAAAACATACTTGAGAAAGAGGCTGCTGCTATTACCCTTTGAAAACCCAAAAAATCAAGAGAAAAGCAAAGATTTTAACAAGTATATGTAAACGGATTAATTACCGCCTTCATTGAGTCGTTTTTCTGAAGAGGGGCTATCACATTGGGTTTCATCGTTATTTGGCTCCGTTTCTGGTACTATTTCAGCTTTTAATAAAATTAATTAAAAATAAAAGTAAATGTAAAATAGTTATCTATATATAAAACGTTACTAAAATCAATTTTTAAATAAAATATACAATCATAAAAAGAAAAATAAATACTTACGTTTGTGACGGTTCATTATATATTTTAATAAGTAAACGTGCACAGGTAGGAGTATGAAACTTTAAATTAACATTGTTTTGCAGTGCTACACGAATTTAGAAACAAATAGGTATATTCCCCCACCCTTTTTTCATCACCAGTTAAAAAGTAAGTTTCGGGATAATCACGTAAAACGATGTGGTAACCCTTTCGATAGGGTTAATTCTATAATAGGGCTATCATTACAAATGATTAACACATTTCATTTGCTTAAAGGTAGGTTACACATATAATGGGTAACAAGGTTTTTCTACGTTCATTTTGAATGGGTAACCGTTTTTTTTGGCTTAACTCTAAACCCGGGTTTTACGGTCCCTGTTTATAACCATAAAGAAAAAATCATAATATATTAATTATTTAAGCCACAATTGATCTATGTGTAATTTGAAAAAGTTAAGATTAATAATTTTAATTTAAATTTGCTATTATTTAAAAAACAAATTATTAAGCAACACATTACTAGGTACATACATTTACAAATCAAAAAGTGAAAAAATATTATTAATCAGAAATGCTATCATTTTGATCTACACAGTAAGAATTTACTACATCTACCTGTCTGTTATGTAAAAGTTAAAATATTGTAAGGTACTTTAGTGCCATTTTTCAATTTTTTGAATTCAATTTGTTAATTGTGGGTAGGCTGTCTGTAACAACTATATAATACCTTAGAGACATCTAACACCTCAGTCTCTACCGTGACCATGATTGCTGTAAAGCATTCGAAACGTCGGGAAACAAAAAATGCAAATAAATCCGCGACAAATTCCGAAAAGATAGTTTTATTTAATTAAGATTTAATTATGTAAATAAATATACAGTATAAATATAACTGAACTACGCGAGTGGGGCCGCGGGAACATGCTAGTATATTATATTTATATGTACCTACCTTCACCGTAGGCCGCGACAGACGCAACCCAGCTCAGCAGCACGCTAAGCGGGGTCATGGCGGGCGCTCTCGATGCAAACTCACTCAGCGATAATCTGTCGGCCAGCGACCGCTGAGTGCAGCACTAATTGATCAGACGTGCCAATTACACGGGGATTGGCTTAACCGAGCTCCCTTATACAGGCGGGGTGTGTTAACTATTATTATCTAATACGGATATATCTAATTAAAATTATACTTAATTACTTACTTATAAATATGAAAGTGTGTATGAGTGTGTGTATGTTCATTTTTCAATTCAGTCAGCCAAGCCAAAGCCAAGTCAGCCAAACGGCTGAACCAATTTGAATGTTTATTACACAGATAGAATATGATCTGAGTAACACACGGGCCAGTGCCAACCAGGGACGCGCTCCAGCATCTCTTTATAATATTAATTGTATCGCATATTATATTATTTTGGTTTTTGCGATGAATTGAAACACCCTACGCCTAAGGATTTAATAAATTATTCACAAAATATCTTGAAGATTAATCTTTAATAGATAGGTGTTATATATTTTATTAAAACAATAAAATATAAAAACTCTCAAGTAACAACAACCTGTGAATGGCATCGATACCTTCAATTAGCGCACGCTATCGCTCACTAACGATCGGATCTGCAATAAACCAAGGGTATAAAAAATTTGCTGTTTACATAAGTACTTGAAAACAAAATAAACAAATAAACTATTTTTTTTTATTTTACAACATAACTCTTCTCATATACATAAATCTTTTTACCATATTCTAATAAAACAATATTATTTTCATCTACTTTATAAAATAAATGTTAAAGCCTTTTGTAATTCCTGATCGATTTTTCGCATTTATCTATACTAATATTATAAAAAGGAAGAGTTTGTTTGTTTGCACGCACTAATCTCGGAAATTACTAATCCGATTTGAAAAAATATTTTTATTAGATAGCCCGTTTATTGAGGAAGACTATAGGCTATATACCCAATATATAATTTATCTATTCCATACTAACCGTTAAAACGTACCTTAAATGCTAAAGTTTGTATGTATGTTAGTTACGCCTTCACCCTGAACGGCTGGACGGATTTGAATGAAATTTAGTACAACAGAATAGACGTTGACCTTTTTTTAAATGATGAAATTATGGTTACCACCTGAATTTATGCAGATAACCATATGGGACTCGCCAGCCAGAACAACCAGTACTACCTGCTAAAACGCAACGGAACCTCCCCAGGCTTAATGAGGCGTCGCAACTCACAGGTTCTTGGTGTCTCTAGAATCTCGGACACCCCAACGGCTGATCTGACGAGGCAGACCGCAACAACCTTAGAGTTGCTTCCAAAGTCTATTCTACTATCAGAAAAGTACCAGAAACTACCCGCATAGCACACCGTCCATCGAAGTGGGCCATCTCCCAGTGTGTCTCTTGGTTTCACGCCCGACTGGATTGCCGGACGCTAAGAGAAACTATAATAATAATCGTTTCATGAATTGTTATTATTAAATTAATGAAAAATATATTGTTAATTTTTAAACAATTAATTAAGTCAACGGTACAGTCAAAGTGTGCGCACACCGCGCGCCAAAAGTAACCACAGACTTAATTTATATGATAGAGTATATCACCCGAGTGCTTGACACTGTACATGAATGAGCAGAATATATAATCGATAGATCAACTAACGAGGTACACACAGGTGTCTGCTGATAAGCTGATAACGCCACATCTGTCTCTTCCCTCGCTAAGCTTTTTAATATTGTTTTATTATGAACTAAGCATCACAGCCGGTGTTGCTTTAAGTGAATTTCTTAAAAAATAAAATAGCGGTTAAAGAATATTATGTATTGATAGAATTTTTTCATGTCATTATCATTTAAATAAGTAATGTACTTGACCACAACAATAGCTTATATTATAAATCTAAACATCAAAAATACCATTATCTAGAAATTATAGATATTTTATAGGTACACTTACTAGCGACTTACCCTCGCTTCCCTCGGGTGCATCTGCATATACTCGTAGGTACCAAAAAGTACCATTAAAAGTAAAGTAAAAGTATGGTTATTCCATGTCACAGTCTGTCTAGTGTCTATGTAGTGTGTACATTTACCTATAATGGCTGTCTGATGAACAACAAACAAACACCTGTGCCCACCACAACCACATGAGTTGTCGCAGTTTATTGAATTACAATTAGCTGGTATATTATAATCAGAGCACGGCTCGCTGGCATCGGAGCGCTTATTGGTTTTTGATTGCGATAACGAAATAATTAGTGTTCGCCAACAAATCCTTCAGGCTATCCATCATTACAGGGATAATATTGAAATTGATCAATTTTATGAATTAAAAATGTATTTTTTCTCATTCACAAGTTATACCCACAACTTTAGCCGCGTGAAGTATTTTCTTTCTTCCTTCTCAACT